AAGCTTGACGTGTTGTAAAACTCAATATTGTTAACGTCAATTTACTCAAAACTAGACACTGAGGAAACAGGAGTTTATGATTTTGATGTAGCTACATTATGTCCTACAGTAGGCCAAAGGCCATGTCGTCGGCACATTTTAACGACTGCATACAATTAAAGAACACAAATGTGAGGAAGCGTGGTGGAATCAGGCTCTCGTCAATTTTGGGCATGTAGGGCTGTTGGTATCATCTTAATGCTTGTTCAATAATTGTCTTTATTTTGATGAAAAAAAACTCCATTTATCTTGAATACAAGTCGGGATATTTGCCAAAGAAGAAGGTGGAGGTTACCAGTTTTCAGAGATAAAATTTGTGAGAAAATGGCCGTCAAAGATGAGTTATTTCCTAAGTTTAAGAGTCCGTGGTAACTGAACATTTACATTTTTTGTGCCTTTAATCGGCGTTTTTCAGAAAATTTTTCTCAGAAATAAGTTCTTTAATAGGCATGAAAGGTGTTGAGCCAAAAAAAAAAAAATCATAAAAATTCATAAACCTGCGGGAAAACGCAAGTTTCTTCACCTTTGATTATTTTGACGAGAGCCTGATTCCACCACGCTGCCTCACAAATTTGTATATTTCAAAGTGTTCACCTACCATATTTTTAGGTTTCATATTATGAAGAAAATGGTATGGCTTGAAAAATATTATATATGAATGTGTTGAAGATTATATATGTACACCCAAAACAGCCTGTCTTCAAATGTTGTCCTATCCTATAACTAGAATATGCGTCCTCGAAAAGTTGAAGATAAGGAAGTTGAGGTTGTAAACTCCGGCAGATATCTTGGAGCAACCATCAACAACAGGCTAGTGTGGCATCCTCACGTTGCTCTTGTGCATAAAAAAATCAAATAATGTTCTTTTCAAGGAAATTAAAAAGTGCTGATATTGATAACAAGACATGTTCCCTTTTTACTATTTCCTTAATCGTAAGCGTACTGTTATATAGTATTTGCTGCTGAGCTGGAAACTGTAAGGTGCAAGACAGAAATAAATGTAATCGAATCATAAAGAAAAACCTGTCAGATAATCATTGGATGTGACTTTAATAGAACTAGTGAGCTATATAAAATTACAAGTAGAAAAAGAACTAACGACATTTCCAACGACTTGTCACTCCCCGCTTCCACACGTTCAGATCACACAGCAGCAGATAAAAGAATACACCACCAGGAACCAGGAAAGAACGACACACAAGACGTTTCTGCCATCTCCAGTAAGGCTACTGTCGAAATGAACTCATTAACATTGATGATATACTGGTGTCATTTTTATTTGTTGTTGTTTTTGTTGTTGTTGTTGTTGTTGTTGTTGTTGTTGTTGTTGTTGCGGCTACTGTTGTTTTGTTTTGTTTTGTTTTGTTGGGTTTTTCTTGCCTATGCACACAGTGTATAATGCGAGTATATCTATATATTGTGGCTTTCAATGTCTGTGATAAATTCCTGCATGTGATTTGAGGGAGGTATCTGATGACACATGTTGCATTATTGTCAGCTTTATTTCACCTTTATTGAAATTCTGTTCTGAAATAATGTATTATAATACAAATTCTATGTATACAGAAGCTACACGTGTTGTTACTATTCCTGTACAG